CCCCAGCCCGGCCCGGCCCGCTGCTGCGCTTCTTGGAGCGGCGCGGCACGTACCCGTCAGGGAGAGCTGTGGCTCCCAAGGGTCTGCAAGTAAACACAGCGAGCAGGCAAAAAGAAGAATTAGCCCCAAATGACAATCAGGGAAGTAAAGGCACAACCCTAGCTTTCGCAGCATTTGGAGGAACCGCAGGTTTCCGGCTCGAGACGTGATCCCGGCCGCTGTCTCTTGTCTCCAGGACTGCTGGCGCTGCAGGTCTGCTCCTCCGCATTTGTATGCCACCGCCTGCCTTTGCCTCCAGCGACCTCTGAACGTTTCTCGCTCCATCGACAACAACAGACTCCTCTGACTGAAACTCATTTTTCTTCTGTCTGAAGCTACCCGTGCTGTAACGCACGGCTGGGAAAGCATGGGGACCAGCGCAGCTACAACGGGGAGCCAAAGCCCCTGCAAAAGAGCCCAGGATGCATCTTCTTCATCCTAGAGCAAAGCAGGGCAGAGGCAGGTCCTGAGCCCGCGGGAAGACTCTTCTCCTAGCTCTTGGGACCGGCTGGTGATCGAATTTGAACGGACACACGAGGTACCTTCCTCACTTCCACGGACTGCAGGGACCAGCCATCAACTTTCCTCTCCACAGATCCCCTCTGGAGCAGGGCCACCTCCGGTTGCACACTGGCGCTACTCTCCCCTGCGGAGAGTAAGATGCGTTTCTCTCTCTTTGCAATACAAATCTTAATAGGTTTCCCATTTCTTTAATACCTGTCCTGCTTGCTGTCCCGTCACAGGCCACCTCTGTGCAGACTGGAGGCTTTGAAAAAAAGCCAAATTCTCCATGGAGATAATCCTGATTCTTTGCCTGCTCGTGGTGGCCACAGAAAGCCCTTGCAGCCTCTCTCGGTGCCGGGAAGAATCCCAGCCACAGGAGCATTGCTTCGGAGGAGTAATTATCTACATAAATCTTTCAGGGCAGAGAATTCATGCTCATTTAAGGCAGAGAGACTGCAGCAGAACAGGCTGTTATCTTGAAGAAAAGCTCTCCAACGCTTTGCTAACCCTTGGGGACGAGGAGGAAAGGCAGTTCTCTCAACTGCTGCAAACCGCTGCAGGCATGGATTTTTGTTCCAGGAGAGATTCTTGCTCCGTAATCACAAATCATGCTGTCGTTGCAGCCAGACGCTGGATCCAAGCTCAAAGTGCTGCCCCAGGGCACCCGGGGACCCCGCGCCTCCTCTGGGATTGCAGCTGGCTCCTTTTTACATCACGGCCAAGGGATATTCTGGCTTCTGAGCGTCTTCCAGGGCATGTGCTGTTCGGGGCGGGGGGGGGGGGGGGCCCATGTTCCCCGCTCAGTGAGGGGATGTTAGCGCCAAAAAGAAGTGCAAAGACACAAGGGACACCCGACACATTACTTTGATTAAAAACTGAGAGCGGAAACCACTCGTGATTTTTTCAAACCACTTTCTCAGGGCAATGAGTCACAACTTTCGAACGCGGAAAACACTGCTTGCAGCCTCCTCAACTTAAGTCTGGAGATGTGTGGGGACTTCTGAGGTGCTAGGCCACCTCTTTCAGAAAGAAGGGAGATTTGGGGAGAAGGACTTTGCCCCCTTGGAAATACTCTGCCCTTGAAAAGATGCCACAGGACACCAGAGTTTCCCTTTTGGACAAAACACAAATCTATTTATCAGAAAACTCTGTTAATTCTAGGTGGGTATTCCCTCAAGTTTGGCTGCCATCAGCGCTAATTCTTTCTGCTGGGGAGGGATGCCTACAAGCAGATACCAGCAGGTTGTCCACCGTTGTGGTGACCTGGAGAGATCAGTAACTGAGCCCCAAGGATCTCCTCGTTCACGGTGGATGAAGAGACTCTTTGGGGATGGGAAGCTGGCTCTAGCAAGCGACAGTCTCCGAGTAGACCCAGAATACTCCTGGCTCCTGCCTTCTTTAAAAGTTAATTTTTTTAAGTACAAAGGCTGCAACTGATGCTGGAAGACTCCCTAGGAGATCACAGACCAAGCAGCCCTGACTGCCTCCAAGGTCAGAGCAGAAGACGGTCAGGAATACAAAGTCCTTCAGAGCAGAACTGTAATTCTTTCAAAGACCAGTACTTATGCTTTTTCAGGTAGAGGCGATGAGACTTAAATCAACAACGCTGTTCAGAGAAAGGTTGCTGTGGGAGCTCAGCCTTGCTATTAGGCACTGGGGATGCTACCCAGGTTAGTCATTATGAGTGCAGGCACCCAGGAGCCAGGCTTTAAAAGTTCAGCTGCACTGAAAACTCCCTGCCACCGTTTTTTTAGCTCAAGGTATTTTTACAAGTATAACAAACAATGCATGGACCTCCTCCCAGCCTTATGTCTCAAAACTTGGACATCCTTCTCAAACTTTCACCTCTCTCCAAAAGTGGCCCCAAGGTCCTTGTAAAGCCAGTGCTTGAATATAACCCTATGGACTGGCTTTGCCAGTGCTGGAGCTATGGCAGGGATTATGGCTGGGATCACTACAGGGCTCCTCCTTTACAAAGCCTCTCTGAAGTCTACATCCAGTCAGATGTTCCTCCAGAGAAAGACCTCTGAACGCATTCAGCAGAGACGGAAATCCTCTTCCTCACACCGGGCCAGGCTTTGGGACTGTCCATGTTCCTTGGCCATCACCCGCCAGCCCTCGGGAAGGATACAAGAAAAAGTTGCAAACCCAGCGTTTGCGTGCCAAATGCTGTGGCTGCATTTGCAGCTGCAGGCCAAGCTCTGACTGCTTTTTAGGCTGAGCAAGCGGGCACTCTCCAGCCTTCGCTAGGGTGCTTCTGCTCAAGACGGCTTTTCTTAGGACTGCCAGCGAGCGAAACCTATTTACTTCTTGCTCGGGAATGGGACTGCGCAAATCATTTGGCTTAACCCACCACCAGGCGTGAGATGGTCATGACTATCATAAAAGGATCTGCACCACCAACTTAAATGTAAGAACATAGTCTAATATCAAGCCCCTGCATTACCTGGTCTTCTGCAGAAGCACCGAAATTATGTATGGTCTTGCATGTGAACTGCTGTATTCATGTGATATATCAGCAGGGCTGTGGACTAGCAGATTTGATTGCAGGTTCAGATACCACCGTTTGCAGGATAAGGCCCTGAGCAGGCAACTAAGCTGCACCGTGGGCTGGGAAAAAAGTGGGACACTCATTCCTCCATCAACTATAAAAATAAACCAGCTCATTAGAATAACAAAGTCTGCTAAGTTCAACTTTTCGATTAGCTTCCAATTTTAATGGTTTCAAACCGTTTTGCCTGGGACTCTTCATCAGTTATTATTTTTAAATTACAAAATTAAACGGAAAAATAAGCATGGCAAGCAACAAGATCAATTCCAGTCCTGGAATTAGTCCATATGGCTAAAATATTGCTGAATGAGGCTCGCCCACCTCAGCTGAGCTCCTGCCGGCACAGCTGAACTCCCAGAAGGAAGTCTTGTCCACCCACATCTATAGAACGCAACGCACACCTTCATATAGAAATATATGTACACGTCCACGTATAAACCAAGATGGAAGCCTGCATTGCTTCACCAACGCAAGTTGGGCTGAAGAGCTGATAGTCCTGAAGCCATGATATAGAGCAGAAATCCTCCTGCTGGCTGCCATGGAGGGTCTGTCTCATGTACAGAGCTCTCCTTTTCTGTCTGGGCATAGGTTCCTGTCTCGTGGCATTGTCCACAGACGGGATTATTTTGAAATGAGCACGACAGGCTGGCCTCTCGCTGTTTCCATCCAAAACAGGAGCCGCTACGAAAATGGAGAGAGTCTAGGGGAGTATCAGTTTGCTGAACTCTTCAATACTCACATTAAAAAAAGCATTGCTAAAAATACAGAGGCACCATGCAGACAAGCGCTGCGATATTTTGTGCTTCTCCGAGTCCAACAGCGAGAATTAATGTTTTCCCCATCCGCCTCTCAGAACGGCGCTGACTGCAGTTTTAAAAAGCACCGATTGCTGCCAGTGACAGCATGCGTCGGCAAACGCCGGCCTGTCCCAGGATGCAGTGGAAATGAAATGCTAGTCGCTTCCTTTGAATTACCGATAGAAAAGGTAAACCGCTGCAGACAAGAAACGGATCTGATGCCGTCAGACTTGCCTCAGGCGCTGAGCGATAAGCAATAGCAATAAGCTACAGCAATAAGACTCCGCAAGCGAGAAGGGGGATGTAGCTTTCTAACGGCACGACTTTGATGTTGATTTTGGGGCCAAAGATGGGCTACACGATGGCCCGTGTAAGCACTTTGTTTATCATACCAAAGGAGTAAACAGAAGATAACCCTGTATGGCATCTTGTTGCATAAGAAACAGGACCACAACCCAAATCAACGTTCCCCCAATGAAATAAGGCCTGAATCAGAAATGTTATTGCAGGAGGATCCTGCAGGGCCAGGAGGAATGGAAAACTCCATCATGGGGGATATGGACAAGCTCCACATACGCTCGGGAGAAAAAGACATCACTGCGCAGATACACCAGTGAAAAGCGAGCCACTTACTTACTTGAGCAAATGCTGGGCTACCGCCGGGTGGGCGGTAAGCCGGCCGCCGTACATCTCCGAGGAAGCCCACTGCATGATGGCCCGGTGCATGCGGTACTGCACCGTCAGCATCCTCGTAGCCTTCTCCCCGTACCTCTCTATGAGACGCTCCATCAGGCTGAGTGACAGGCCCTTGGCAGCAGCCCTGCAGGGAGAAAAAAAAAAACGAGTCAGGAGCCGAGCGTAGATGTCTGTTCTTAAACGAAGAGCTAAGATATGAACTTAACCCTCTCCGGCGCTAGAGAATCAATAAGCATCTCCTCGCTAGGGATACAGCTGCCACGGCAGCGCTGCCCCTGGAGTTGAATGCGATGCTGAAAGTGCCGACGCTGCTAAGCAGCAACGCTATCAGGGCACCTGCGCTACCTATTCTGTACGCTGCTGAGCTCCCTTGGGTGGCTCTGGCCCCCTTGACTGCACCGCTGCTGGGACGGTGTTACTTGCCTGGCCTTTCCGCTCCGTTTTACTCAGTCCCTTACCGACGGGTGCAGAGGGAGCAGGAGAAGGCTGCAGGGTCCCCAGCGTTATTGCTCCGCGTAGGCTCCACAGCAGGGTGAGGACCTTCAGGGACAGAGTTCTGCCTTGCACGGCAGGGCAAGGCTTGACTACGTCAGGGCAGAGAGATGCCTGCTTCCCTTTCCCGTGGGGAAACGCCTAGGGGTAGCATCGCTGTATCGCAGGAGATGCGGATGGTATCAGCCATCCCCAGATCTAATAACGCCGGGAGCCGTCGCTTCTCGCCCCCAGATCGCCTCAGCATGGCTGGAAGAAGACGAGTGATGGAAGCTCAAGATACCACCTCACCGAAACAGCTCCAGAACAAAACCTTCTAACCCCAGAAGCTCATGCCCGTAACATCCTCGTAGGAGGGTCCTGATACAGTCACATTTCTCATAACAGGCCCTGGACACCGAACCTGCCAGCGGAGCGGCATCCGAATCGCCTAATGCAGTATTATCGGAGCTCAACCCCACTTACTTCTTAAAATGTTTGGGGTCAACGCAGCCCGACCGTGCTAGCGGTTCATCAAGACGCTCGACGCTAAAGCTTCTCACTACTCCTTGGCAACTCACCCGAGACTAACGCGCTAACGCATGCCAGGGCTTATTGCTTTATTACCCCATTAAGAAAACCAACGCTCCATCACTTGGGGCAAAGGTCCTCCGCTTGTTTCTGTGACACAAATTAATACAATTCCTAGTGAAATAAGCCCTCCAGGAGCCTAATTGCCTTCTCCTTGCCATGCAGAAAGGGTTTGGTAGGAGTGTCGCGTCCTTCCAAGAAGGAAGCGCCGCAGGCGTCCCTGTGCTCTGATTGTCGATTTTGAGCATTTCAGACCACAATTTTTCCTTTTCATCCTGCGCGCGCAGCGCCTTGTACAAGGCTGCGGTTCGCGGCGAGCGGTTCCGCTTGCTCCCAGAGCACTGTGAGCAAGCGTGACAATGATGAAACGATGCAGGCGAACAGCTAGGGAAAATGATTTCCTCGGAGGCTAAGGGGCACAGCACGCATCCAATTACTGCCGTAGGGAAGCATTACATTAGTACACGGAAGCGCGGCGAGCGTCTCGTTTGCCGCGCTGGCCAGGTCTGTCATGTTAACAACAGGGCACTTGGTAAATATAACAAGAGGCCGCAAATTCATTAAAACGGCAGAAGAGAAAAGCGAGGGTAGATCTTCCCGAGGAGAAGACGCCGCATCTGATTAGCCGACCTCCTTGCTAAATGGCAGAACGCAGTACCCGCAACAAAAGGCTCGTAAACTGGGAACGATCCCAAGCTCCACGTGGAGCAGGAGCTCGGAGATAGGGCTGCCTTTTCAAAGGCTCTTCCAACATAATGACCGGTCAACAACACGGGCAGCCACGCAAGTTGGGAGAAGGGCCGCTCGGCGTCGCACTACTATGCTGCGCTACTGAACAGATGTTTCCAGCTGTGCGGTACCTTCGACTGCTGACCGAGAACCACGTGAAGATGGACCACCAGGCTCTTCTCATCTCCAGCAATCATGTTTGCTCCAGCAATCATGTTTGCTCCTGCCACGGCATGGGTGTACTTAGACGGGTATTCATGCTCCCAGCTGAGGGTATGGGAGAAGAGGGGACTAGGTGGAGCGCGGCCGGAGCGAGGGGAAGAGCAGGGTGCAGGGCTGGGATCTGGCTCCGCTTATCTGGATTTAGCTTTCCTCTTTGCAGGCTCACACCCGACCGGGAAGTCACTGGTAGCCTGATCCTCCCAGCTCTGTCCCATGGGGCTCTCGGAAAGGCAGGCTGGACCTCAAAGGCAAGGAGGGAAGGAAGCGGTTTTAATAGGGAGAGTTTGTCCGCCACGTTAATCACGTCAGGCAAGTCAAGCGAGGAGCGTGCGGTCCCCAACCAGGAGCTGGGGCACGGCTCGGGGGAGCAATGTGAAAAAAAAATAAATGCTGTCAAAGGCTCAAAGGGATTCGGCAAGGCAAAGAGCCTTTGCCACCCGAAAGGTCTCTCCCCTTTGCTTTTGTCCTTTACTCTCCTGCCTTGGCTTGTAAGTTCTTACAAACCCAGGATCAAATCTAAAACTGGTTTTACGCAGAACTGGCAGCAGAAACCTGGTGAGGTTTTTTTTTAACATCAAATGATAAACATGCTGAAATATTTCTCCTAAGGATATATCATAAAGCATGGGGGGGCATTAAAACACAGCAGGCCTTGGAAACAATACCCTTCTGTACGCTAACAGCAGCGTTTCCACTGCAGGGATCTACGTGAGGATATATGTTGAATTAATAATGAGGATATTAAACTGCTTGCAATATTTCACCTGTTAATAAATTTCCTATTATTTTGCAGCACAATTAATTCCTATAGCAGTCAATTCCTACGCCAACAAAATCCCAGAGCCAAAGCTTTTAAGCCTCAATTGCTTTAGGGCAGTGAAGCTGGGAGGGGAGGTTGGACAGACAGAATCACGCTCCTAACGCTCAGGAATTTTCTCCTCTAAAGTAAAGCTAGGAAAGCTAAAGCCACCCAAGCAAGCCCCCGGCAGCTAGTCTGCCCTGCTAACCTGAATTCACCCTGGCTCATGCATAAGAGGAGGCTGCGCTTTGCCTGGATCCACCTTCCTGTGGGCACCAGCACCGCAGAAGTACGAGGCCCCTCTGCTGCCGGCTGCGCTGTAGAGGTAAGGTGTCACCGTGGAGCCTTTGGAGGAAAAGTCTGCAAATCGACAGGGGTACGTGTAGCCAAGCGCAACCAAATATTTCAAGCGCTCTTGTGCCCGCTGTGCTGTGAAACGTCCTTTTCGGGCTGGGTGCGAGGAGTCAGTCCGCCGCGTAGGTGTCGAGAGTCATTACCGGGCGAACAAGTGGGAAATTTCCCATTGAGCGATGGAGCCGTACCTTGGGTCGTGCTAAATCTTGTTTTAATTATTCATTGGAGAGCTGCTCTCCTCCCTACGACACAGAAAGAGACGTTGGCTGGGCTCGCACTTCCACTGCACATCGCCCAACGCGGACAGCCGCGTCAAGAGCAGGGATGGCACTGTGTCAGGCTACCTCAAGAGCTCTTAATGTCAAAAACACGCTGAGGCTGCTGCGGGCATGCCAAGTATTAGCTACCCTGTGCTTTGTGCCCCGGCCTTTGGTGTTCTGGTAGAGTAGTTTAAGAGGTCTCACAAACGGAGGTGAAGCACTAAGTGAGGCTGTGCAGGACACCTCCTTTCTCTGGATGTCGCCTTTGTAAATCCTTGCAAATACATATCAACAACCTCTTGGCAGATATGAGGGAAGAAGGTAGCTTGTTACTTCCGTCCGTGGGGGCTACCAAAGAAAACTAAGGGCTGGTATTTGCTACACAGTGACGGAGTGAAAGCAAATTTGTTTGGACCTGACACGCAAAGCATCGAACTCCTAGGCACAGAGGACTGGCACGGGGACTGCAGATAACAGTGATGGAGGAGGCATCCTGCTGCCAAACAGGCCCGCTAGAGATGCCCAGGCTCCTCTAAGAAACAAGTCGAGACCAAGGGGTCTGATGATCATCTACAGATATCTGAAGAGTGTAAAAACAAATAAACCGGAGCCCTGACATGGAGACAGAACAATTAGGATGACAGAGAAAGACTGAATGAGGACTAAAATGAAAACAAGGAGAACAAATGCTCCTGCCAGACAGCAGAAAGCGTCCTGATGTTGAGATGCGCTCTGGGACGGGGCCAAAACCCAGCGGGAGGCTTGAAGGTGCTGTCGGTGAGCTTGGGAGAGGGCTGCTGAGAGGGGAACGGTCTCAGGCTGGTGTTCACTGTAGCTGGGAGCTCTTTCTGGAGAAACACAGCCAGCACGGACAAGGTCTAGGTAAAGGTACTGTAAGGTGTGCATGGGGCAGCCACCGACCTGATAATCTATGAAAACCAGGAGGCGAAATTGTTTCTCGGGAACACAACGCAATAATGATGGGCAGGGAGTTTCATCGACGGTGGCAGGGCAGGGGAGGGGACAGCTTCAGGTGTTATGTTTTCCTACCTTTCTCACCAGGTTTCAGGTCACACTGCTGGCCTGCGCTGGCCACACAGGGCCCCTTCACTTAGGGAGGGCTCAGCTCAGCTGGTTGCAAAACCTCTGCTCACGTCTCAGCCCTTTACTGCTCTTCATCCAGAGCCAAAAGGCAGGCAGGTCAAAGGGAAAGGGAGAAGCATCCTTTGGCCCCTCACCAAAACTGCCTCAAGGGGAAAAAGCGTTGCAAAACTCACCCTACAAATGCCGAGTGCAGGGAGGAAAAAGCAAACAATAAAAAGGCAGCAATAGCTCCGCGGCACCCATTAGATCGGCGGATAGCATTGCAGACAGGGCCTGGCTGGCAGAGCTGAATACAAGCCGCGGGGAAGCCTGTTTGCGTGATTGCACTTGCAGTATCACACCTATAAAGTGTAACGGC